GGGGGGGGGGGGGGGGGGGGGGGGGGGGGGGACGAGAGGCTGACGGTTGAAGCTGAGAGGCGGTACCAGTTCTTCCGATACCACGGGGGCACAGTTGCATGGGAGATGGTGGGTCTTGCTCTGGGTGGCGGGAAGGTCATAGCTGCGTGGGATCGGCCTCTGTAGAGACCACCCTGCACTCGCGTCAGCGGACGCCAAGACCAGGACATTGCGCGCCTGACCTGCTTCTCTCATGAGAAACGTACGCAACCCCGAGGTGTGACTGCCGAGGGGTATAGGAGGTGTACTTCGAGCCGCGCCATGAGAAGCCGAGTTTTTCCGAGCCACCAAGTTACGATTTAACAATTTCCATCCCAAGACGAGAGTGGCAAAAGTTATCGGTCGTGAGGCCATCTCCGACTACAAGTCAACATAAGATTGATAGGGGAGCACCAGTAGTACCACCCGGGTGGCGTTACATGGCTGAAAGCCAGAAAGGCTGGTTGTTAGAATGATGCGCACCTCATGAAAGCGCGATTTTTCTAAAAGTAAAGCGACTGCATGCTTCTGTACCTCGGGAGGACTCGTGGCAGCAAAGTATCTTGGGATTCGATTGACAACATCCCAGGGAGGCCATTGCGCTGGCCTACTCCCGCTTCAAGAAGATCGGGTATCACGAAAAAGAGCCAACCCAGAACCGACCGGGAGTTTGTGACTGGTACGTAGCGAGGAGCGCTCCACCGGCGCCCAGCGCCAACCAACGCCTTGCCAAACTAGAAGCTTGCCAGTAGCGAGAAAAGCTACCATCGAGCAACAGACTTGAGTCAGTCTGAGCGGCGGTGTACACCACATCTACAACGCCAACCCGCCGCAGAACGTCTCCTTTGCGTTTATCTTCCTGCGTGTTGCACAGGTGTCATTTTCGTCACTCACTGCTAACACCCGGAACAGAGAACACAAGGCGTCAATTCGTTCACAGGATAGCCCGCTATCTGGACTGCTATGAAACACCCGCAACGCAACGACAACGTTGTCGAATCGCGAAAAAAACAGTAGATAGGCGGTCCGGTCTGCACCTCGTCCGGGAGAACGATACCGCCCGCCGTCCTCGACACGGCCGCGAACATCTTGACGAGGATGTAGTTGCCGACGGGCTGAAGAGGCTTGTCGATCACGTCATCTTCCAGGGTGATCACCAGGGAGGACATGGACGGGCTGATTTGATTGGTTAGATCCAGAAAAAACAAAAAGATGAGAGAGGGGATCAGACAAGGCGGACACATGGGGTCGCAAAAACAAAAAAAGGGGATAGGCGCGACAGGGTCGCAACGATCAGTCGAAGATGCCACCTACGGTGCAACCATCGTCTACACTCTAAGCATTCGTATTGACAATTACTCGAAATCGCCCCGCAAAAACCGACGAGGAGCAAACTCTCAGGAATGCCGTCGAGACTGACGGTCAGGGACGCCTTGGCTGGCTTGATGGTGCGTCAACACAACACTGCTTGTACGTACGCCTCTATGATCTACGGGGCACCCTCTGGCATGGATGTCCGCTCCTTCGCCAAGACATCGGATCGATTTTCCTTGTTCTCGAAACACGCATCTACAGCATCAAGAACTACAGGGACACCAGGAGCTAAGCGCAGCTACTGCGTTGTGTAATGTGCCTGGGCGCATCTACTTGTATTGGACCGGAATACATTAGCAAGAATCGATAAAAACTTCCCATTCCAATGCCAACAAAGCGGCAGGGTATGCCGGAGACATGGGTTGGAGAGCGAGTTGGAAGACCCGTAGCTCGTAGGCGTTGCGTGTACGGCTTACAGCAGCAGTGCTCCTTTAGTCTATACAGCAACGGCACGACACATGTACGGCGTTCAGCCCGCGTTGCGCACACAACACCGCTGCATCCAGATGCTACGTGCCAAAAAGCGATGGAACTGCGTAAATGTAAACCTCTTGTGGCTGACGTGTGTCAATGATGATGTCGGCTACTACCCGCGCCCCATCTCTCTAGATCACCTAGTGGCTCTTCGCGCCACTGCTCTTCCGGAGGAGTGCTGCTGCTGATGCGTGGTGGATCGTGAGGAGGCTGATCGAGGCGGCACACCAACGTTCAACGACGGTGCCAGAAAGGCACCGCTCGAAGCAAGCATTGCCGCGCAAGATGCCGCGAACGCCACTGCAGGGGACCTCATGTTACGTGACGAGGCTTTCTCTCCACCCTTTGAGGCTGCTTCCCTGCTCCTAGCTGTGGTTGATGTGGTGCTGAGTCTCTTGTTGTCGTGTCTTCCCACCGGGGACTTCGCGAATGGACACATGATTTTTTCAGTTGTGTCGTGAAGTATCGTACGCAGACCCCCCGAGAGCCAGCGAGCCACTTCTCCAGCCAAAGCTTGGCGAAACACCGCCCCTTTTGGCCCCCTCTCGCCCTCCATAGGCGGTCACTCGACACCTGTAATCGCCGCTGGCCAGTCGCCAAGCATGCCTCCGAAAGGTCGGGGGGCAGCAGCAGCAGCGAAAAAAGGCAAAAGGAAGGCCACCGCTGTGAAAAGTCACAGCATCCTGTCCTTCTTTTCACCTCCTCCGCCCACCCAGCCGCCGATTGCTCGGTCGCCGACAACAATACCATCGGCGCCATCGCCGCCGACCGGAAGCAGCACGGCCGCAGCAGAACCACTGGGCCCCTCGGGTCTCGTGGACCTCACGGGTGACAGCAGAGGCAGCAGCACCGGGAAGACCGAACCTAAGCCTAGCACATGCGGCGCAACCAGCGCAGGATTCACACCCACAACCTTGGATCCAGCCGCACCCACCACTGCTGTAGGCACAAGCAGCAACAGCTTCGGCACTAGCAGCAGCGGCATCGGGGCTTCCCCGCCTGACGGCATATCTTCTTCTCGCCCCGACGGCCAGGGAATGAAGGGCGGCCGTGTCGGCTTCGTGCGTGCGAGCTCGTTGTCATGCACTGGCAGCGCCGCGGCAACACCGCGCGAAGGATCGGGGGCATCGTCAAGGACGGCAACACACGCCGACTGTAATACTTCTTCCACTACTGCTTCTTCAGCCGCTGCCGCTTCGACTGCTGCTGCGAGGAACGGAGGAGCAGCGGGATCTACGCCGCCAAAGACAATGTCGTCATGGGGCAGCCTTGGGCGCGGAGCCGGGGGGGGTGGACGGCAGCAGCGATTCCCGCTTGCGAGCAATGGGCGGCCCCCAAGGGGCAGCACCAAGGCAATCGCCCTGCCGCTCCAGGTCGTGGGCCGCCAGTTCCGCCAAAACCAGAGCGACGACGGTTGGTCTTCGCCACAGAAGTCGAGCGCAGCAACAGCGGCAAGCTCCCCGTCACCTCACGGAGAACAGCCGGCCGCTCCTGCAGCGTGCACGAACGATGACATTGGCAGTAACACGGTCTTGGAGCTCGAGCGCGAGCCCTACAACAGCCACGACCGCAACGCGATCAAGGTGCTACTTCCTGCGAAACCGCAGACCCCGCCACCGCCGCTGCTTCTGGGTTCCCAGCCCTCCGCCCCGTCCCGCTTCCTCGGGTATATCCCAGGCAGAATCGCCATGCTGCTGGCGCCGGTGCTGGACGCCTCGCCCGACTCTGTCGCACGGGTGACCCTCAAGACCGTCGAAGAGGAGGGGGGAGAAGCGGGTGGAGGAACACGAAATACCTTGCCGGCTCTGCTGAAAGTGCACCCTCTGGATGGTGCTGGCCGGGAGCCGTTTTCCAGCCTGATGGAGAAGGTGAGACGATTGAGGCGGTGTTAATGTTGCTGTATTTTAGCGAACAGGGGGGAGAGGACAGCGTATAGGACGCACCGTGCGGAGGTTGTCTCGTCGATTAGAATAGAACATCTTTCTCTCTTCAGGGGATGTGTATCTTCGGCATGTGTACGATTTCATCCCTGAAAAAAGACGCAGCAGTCGTTCAACTGTTAGGTGACGCTCCAGCCCCCTATGCCCCCCCCCCCCCCATGCAAAACATAAGAGTACGCCCCCCCCCCCTCGCTGTTTGCCATCGGGATTGGGTTTTCGTCGCTTGGCAACGACGTTGTGAAACAAGCCAATTCACTTCGTGAACTCGGCAACTAGGTTACCGAACCCTCACTCCGCGCAAGGGGGATGATCGCACCACGTTGTGTTAAATTGGTCAAGCACCCTCGAGGCAGTTACACAGTGCTTACAACTGTCTC